CCTGCAAGCCTGATCATCCCTAACTGCTCTCCCCTGCAGGCCTTGGTCCCTCCAACTGCCCTTCCCTGCAGGCCTGGTCACAACCAACTTCCCTCCTCTGCTGGCTTTATCGCCCCAAACTGCCTTCCCTTGCAGGCCTGGTTGCTCCCAACTGCCCTCCCCTGCTGGCCATCTTGTGGCAGCCATCATTTCCACCTGGAGGCAGCCATCTTTGACCACATGGAAGCAGCCATCTTGTGTGTTGGAGTGATGGTCAATCTGCATATTACTCTTTTATTAAATAGGGTGTCCAATGAATTTTATCCAAAAGGGAAGGCAGTTTATTCAGACCTGATAAGCAGAATAATGGGAGAGGTTTTAAAGTATTTATCTCCAGATAATTTAACATATCTTATATATCAAAATTATAAAAGTAAAAAATGCTTTTTTGAAGGGGGTATAGCCCAAACAGCGACTAGAAAACAAGAGTAGCAATCTAAGCATTTATGATTTAGACATCAATTTATTTTTGAAACCGAGCATGTACTCATTTTTAAGCTTATCTACATGGGCACCAGTCAGCCATTTGGAATAATTATTTTTTTTTTTAGTTTATATTGAGTTTTTCCCCCCTAAAACCTAAATGGAAGACAACCAAGATGATGGCCTAGGTAAACACCTGTACTTGCTGCCTCTCAAAAATACATCAGAACTACAACTAAAAGACAAAACAAGTATCATCCAGAACCATGGGAAAGCTAGCTGAGTGAAAGTTCTACAACTAGAAAAGCTAGCTGAGTGGAAGTTCAACAACTAGGAAAAAGAGTATTGACTGGTAGGATGTTTGGTGGTGCGTGCAAAACAAACTGGCCACCTGGGTGCACTGTTGTTTTTTTCAATCGGGAGGGAGATACAAGCTCCTAATTGCTCTGAACTCCAGTTCTGGGCAAGACTTCGGGGACCCGGATTCATAAGGGGAGAAACTGGACTGTCTGGCATTGGGCCGGAAGGCAAGGTGGCTTTCTCTCAGAGGCACTTGCAGCAATTCTTATTCCTGCATGGAGGCATAAGACACAGAGACCCAGCGACCTGTCCAGTGCAGGGCTAACAGTCAGCCACTGCTATTTGCCCCCCACTGATAATTCCCAGAGACCCCACCCCACCCACTTTACAACCCACCCAAGCTGTGCAGAGAGGCTTTTTATTATGAATGGCTTGTCCTTTCTGAAGCCTAAAACCTAATAATCTGCAGGTGGATCAAGGAGTTCCAAAGCTTCCAAAAGAAGGCCCAACACCTGACAGCAGCAGCCTGCTTTGCTTCACAGCTGGACCTCATCTGGGCACTTCCAAACCCCAAACTAAGAGGAGGAATCTGCAGATCTCTCTGTAGTGCCTGCCGAGTGGCCTCAGACAGAGTGGCTGACTTTGCACCTCCTTGGAAATCTAAAAGCCAGAGTACCCAGGGTTCAGTATGAGACCATACCAGATTATAACTCTTTCACATCCATAAAAGACACACTCAAGGGGCAGACTCAGTGAGCACCAAAGCCCCACTGATGCAAGTCTTTCCCCAGAAAGGTGTCTCCAGCACAAAAGTTCTTCCATTGTAGACACAGCTGGTCCTCACAGCCAATTGGCCTGGAGGTCAATTTCTCCCAATGATACCAAGAGCATTCAAGGCTTAACTACAGCAAGGCTGTGCACACAGCCCACAAAAGGGTACACCAAGAGTTTCCACTTCAGGTGATTGGAGAGGTTGAGTCAATGGGTCCTATAGGACACCTAGCACAAAAGGCTACAACACAGGGAAGCAGCTAAAATGTGGAGACAAAGAAACATGTCACAAATGACAGAAATGGAGGAAAGCAAACTACTGGATATAGAGTTCAAAACCATGGTTATAAGGTTACTCAAGAATCTGCCAGAAACCTCCAAGAATTTTAGTGAGATCCTCAAAGACATGAAAAAGGACCAACTAGAAATTAAGCATACAATGACTGAAATAAAGAATATACAGAGATCCAACAGCACACTAGAGGATTCCCAGAATCAAGTCAAAGATTGGAAACACAAAGAAGCAAAAAAAAAAAAAAAAAAAAAAAAAAAAAAAAAAAAAAAAAAACCACCACCACTCAACTGGAAAAGCAAAAAGAATTTTAAAAAATGAAGATAGTCTAAGGAGCCTCTGGGACAACTTCAAGCATACCAACATCCAAATTATGGGGGTGCCAGAAAAAGAGAGAGCAAGATACTGAAACCTATTTGAAGAAATAATGACTGAAAACTTTCATCACCTGGTGAAAGAAATGCACGTACAGTCCAGGAGTGCACAGAACCTCAAATAAAAGGAATTCAAAGAGGACCACACATCATAATTAAAATGCCAAGAGCAAAAGACAAAGGGAGAAACAGTTAGTTACCTATAAAGACGAAGTACCCTTAGGAATGTCACCTGATTTCTCAACAGAAACTATGCAGGCCAGACAGCAGTGGCAAAATATATTCGAAGTGATGAATAGCAAGAACCTACAACCAAGATAACCCTACCCAGCAAAGTTCTCATTTAGAATTGAAAGTCTGATAGTGTCACAGATAAGAAAAAGCTAAAGGAGTTCATCACAACCAAACCAGTATTATATGAAATGCTGAAAGGTATTTTTTAAGAAGAAGAAAAAAGGTAAAGATAAAAATTATGAACAACAAAGTGGCAACAAATACATATCAATCAACAAGTGAATCTAAAAATCAAGTAAATAAAAAATCTGATGAAGAGAATAAACTGGTGAATTTAATAGAAACAGGGGCATAGAAAGGAAGTGTACTGACAATTCTCAGGGGCTGAGGGAAGAGGATTTGGGGTGCAGGAAGAGACTGGGCAAAAATCTTACACCTCTGGATGAGGACAGTGTGTGTGGGGGGAGGGGGTGTTAGTTTAAGGGCCTGATGTGGGGTGGGAACCAGGTGGAGGTGAGTATGGGGAGGAAAAGAGGAACAGCTGTAATAATCTGAACAATAAAGATTTATTTAAAACACACACACACACCTAAATGGTTCCATTTTTAACTGCAGCAAATATAAAATTGAACAATACATCATAATCACATTCTTAACACAGTAGTTTTATTGCTAGCTTTACCCAGTGGCCAGATAAGGTTCTACTGAACGAGTACAAAAAACATTTTACATAAATGTTTAAGGCACGCTTTAAAATTAAATACCCATTGCATCTCAAAGTTGTTTATTACATGTTCTTACAAGCTAATAACTTTTAAAAGAAGTCTTGTGATTGGCCACAAACCTTAGAACAAAAAAACATGAAAATTCTCATGATCCGTCTGCAATATGTTAAGTTGGCTGGTAATTTTAATAAAGCATTAAGGAGGTTCAGCTTGTCCATATTACCACTAAAGCAAAGAGTTGTTTTTTTCTTTCTATCTAAAATTAGGCTAGTTAATGCCCTAACTTAGTGATGGCAAACTCACAAGCCACATGCGGGTCTTTGGCCCTTAAGTGTGACTCTTCCACAAAATACTACGTGCAGGCGCACATGTACAGTGCGACTGAAACATGCACAGAAGTCTGTTTTCAGCCTGGGCAAGTCTATTTTGAAGAAGTGGCATTAGAACACTCAAGGGACCAAAGAGCCGCACGTGGCTCAAGAGGAGCAGTTTGCCGACCACTGCCCTAGCTGGTTTGGTTTATTGGAAAGCAACAACCTGCAGACTAAAGGGTCCCGGGTTCGATTCTAATCTGGGGCACATGCCTGGGTTGTGGGCTCAGTCCCCAGAAGGGGGCATGCAGAAGGTAGCCAACCAATCAGTGATTTCCTCTCATCATTGATGTTTCTATCTCTCTCCCTCTCTCAAATCAATAAAAATAGTTTTTAAACTAAATAAGAAAAATTAGGTTAGTTAAGGCTACATTACAACCATAAGCAAATCTTGTGAGAAACAAGCATCCTAAATAATAAAAGGTTAATATGCAAATTGTCCCCTTGACCGGGAGTTCGACCAAGGGGCAGGGCTGACTGGCCAACCTCCCACATTCCCTGCTGGCCCCCCTTCCCTGGCTGGCCCTGCCCCTCATTACCCCCAATCAGGGCACCCAGCCAGACCCCACCTGTGCACAAATTCGTGCACCGGGCTTCTAGTTTGTTAATGAAGCCAAAGTAAATATTCACCACTTGTTGAAGCTTACGTTCTTATAGTATGGACTTCAAAAAGAAAACTTTAAAATAGGCAAAAAGTAGGGGAGCCCAAAGAAATTCCACTTATTAAACCTGCATCCAAAGAAACCATTCCCCCCCTCCAGCTTCCCACTTCCTATCCAAATAATACAAGACTACAAGGAAGTCACCTAAACTACACTGCTCTCTAGGAATTAACTTTGAATGTGAAAACAATCCCTGTTAACCAAATCCTCATACAACAATGCAATGAAATGTTCCTTTTGAAAACAGAACTTAATTGTATAAGTTTTAGATTTACAATATTTGGAAACAAGCCTAATAAAATGCTAAGCAGATATAACAAATTAGCTATCCTAGAAAGTTTACAGGACACTCAAAACTGTAACATCTGGAATCTGTCAGATTTATCACCGTGATTTCTGAAGACTATATAGAAATGACACCTTAAATACCCATATACATAAATATGAAAACAAAAGGTTGGCTCTAAGACAATATGAGAAAATACCACCAAAAAAAGAATCTGAAATGGAAGCCACAAAATCCTGGAAAAGCCTGTTATGGCGGGGGAGGAAAGGGGGTCATAAATGGAATACCCATCCTCCCTTCCTCAAGCTCTTTCAGACAACTAAGCTTTCTAAATGTACCAAGGCATTTTTAAAAATTCATTACAAATCATGCATAAAGTAAGTATATCTGCACTTAGTAACTGCTTTAAATGACGGGGGTTTTACACAGATTATTCAGTTCTTCTGAAATACCCATTTCTCCCTTTCCCAAACAATTCTGAATGATACATCGGTCTATCACAAGGAATATGTTCTCAACTCACATTGTTTCTCCAGTCTTGGCCACATGACAAAGAAATTGATCCAGGACCGGACAAACTTCCTTTTTTCCCCTCTTCTCAAAATCTAGGTAAGGAAGAAAGAATAGTTATCAGTATTCCTCATAAACCCACCAACCATTTCCAATGCCCTCTAAAAACAAAGTTTATTTCCTCATATTAAGAACAAGAAAAAAAATTAGCCTCTCAACCAAATATCCACTTCAACTCTCCTAGTTGTACTTCCATGTGTTAATCTCTCCACGGATAACATCTTCCTAAAGAGGGCACTAACTTCACAAACCATCCTTAACTCAATGTTTCTCAAAGTGTGTTCCAGGGGAACAGCGTGAGCTTCATCTGAAAATCCGATTAAAACTAATGTCCACGGACCCACTGCATTGTTCATCTAACTGATGTCCAAACATCTGCATTTTAGGAAACACCAGCCATCTCACGCAGCTGTCCCCAAACGATACCGGGTATTAAAGCATAATTCTCCAAAGGCTGGATCACAGTTGTTAGACACCGGTCCTCAAACCTGTTGCTCGGAAGACGACCGCCTTAGAATTAGGACCGAATGACGACTCCAGAAGCTCTAAATTCCCTGACACAAATTTCCAGCTGCTCCCCCACCCCCAAACCTTCCGCTCTTTTCCTCCAACTCCGCGCCAGGCAGCGGGCCGCCGAGAAGGGAGCCGGCGGGCGGCGGGCGGCGGGCGGCGGGCGGCGGGCAGGTCTGGGCCGCGCGCCGAGCCCGCCCCGCTCCCCTCCCCTCCCCCGCCCGCGCGGCGCGGACACAAAGCCGCTCCGGGCGCCGCGGGCTCGGCGGGAGGCGAGGGGGAGGGAGCGGGAGGCGCACCTGCCCCCGCGCCGCCCGGCCCAGCAGCCACCGGCCCGAGGCGGAGAGAGGGCCGCGGCGGTGAGGAGGGCGGGAGGGAGAGCGGCGCTGCCCCCACCTTTCAGCGCCTCCTGCAGCCTCTCGACGTCCATGGCTTTCCGGCGTCCCTCGCAGCCTCCGCTGGCCTCCGGGGTCCGGAAGGCCTACCCCCACCCCCCGACGCCCTCCCCCTGCCTCGCACACACTCCCGCACGCAGGCGACCAGGGGGTGGGGGGACCGAAGGGAGCCGGGGAGGCGAGCGAGAGAGCGAGACCGAAAGAATGAGCACCTCCCCGAGCCGCTACCGCCAGCCCTCCAACATGGCGCCGGCACGTCACCGCGCGCACGCTCCCGCGGTCCCCGGGCACGCTCCTTGCCGTCTCCGCGCACGCGCGAGCCGACCCGGAACCGGAAATGGCGAGGCGGAGGCGGGTCGCCAGACGCGGCCTCCCTCGTGGGTGGCTCCCAGGTCGGGAGGCCGCCGCAGGCGGACTGGCGGAGCCCGCTGGGAGGCGGAGCCCTTGGCCCTCGGGCCCCTCCCTTCGCTGGGTGCGACTCAGCAGCTCGTGGGCGGGGCCGCGCGTTCCGCACGGAGACCGCGGACCCCCCGCGGACCCTAGGCAGCTGCTGTGAGGATTGAGGGAGGCCCGCGGGTGAGGACGCAGTAGAAATGCACTAAGTATTAAGAGTAACCGTAACGAGAACCTCTCCCTGCCGGAAGCTAGCCTTCCTTACCGGTCCAGCCTTGGAGAGAAGCAACCTATACAGCAAAGGAATTAAAAATGTAGGGATTGGAACCAGCTGGAATCACAGCCCAACTCAAATATTTACTCCCTCTGTGGCCCTGGACTACTTACCTAAAACTCTGGGAGCAAAGGCGCAGTCTCCTTATCTGAAAATGGAAGTTTGTAAAATACCCATGAGGCTTGAGTAAATGGTATGGAGTATTTAGCACAGTGTCTAGAATTTGTAAGCTTTCAGTTAACTAGCTGCAGTTTTCATCATAATTTTTATTACAATACATGAGCGCCCAGGAAGTTAGGGCAGAAACCTCAAAAGTCCTTTCCAACCCTGATATTTTGCAAACGTGTAGCTGAGGTGTAGCTAACTGGCCTGTAAAACAGCACCAGAACCCAGAACATTTGGCTCCCAGTCAGTGTGTGGACATTTTTACTATCTACTCTTGTCTGTAAGCTTGGGAGGGGGGGAGGGGAAGATCATGATTTCACCTTTTCTTCTGTCAACCAATGGTCATTGGCACCAATCCAATGCCAATAGCAATCAGCAATTTGGAGTGCAGTAAAGAAAAACTATTCAGTGGAACAGCAGGACTGCAAGGCACCTCTCTGACTGGGCAGCTCCGATCCAGTAGGAAAAACACAGTCTTCACCCCTGGTGGGAAGGTAAAGTGGCTCCCAGCTTCAGAGGGGAGCTGGTCCTGCTCATCCTTATGCAAATGAGGATCCCAAAACCTCACTGTCTGATTGATCTAAAAAGCACTACCATGGTTGCTCAGAATGGAGCTGTTCTGCAGGTTTCTCAGGTGAAGATGCTAAGGAGGATATAGCTGCACAGCTCTGATCTGACAAAAAAAAGTTTTGGTCCTATTTTTTGAAATACAGATCCAGGCACTTTTACAAAGGTTGGCTCAGCCTGTAGGCAGGCAGTTCAGGGTATGATTTTCCCTGAAAGGTTGTTCATGTGAGAGGCCCCAGTTTAGATAATTGCTAGGCTGTGCTTTTAAATTTGAGCCCAGTTTGCCAAGGGGCCCCTTTGGTAGGTAACTTCTCAAAGCCATGAAAAAAAAAAAAAGAAGAAGGGAAAGAGAGGGAGGAAAGAAGGCTATTTCTTGACTTGTCTTAAAAGGTGTAAATTTGGAGACAGCCATTACAACTGTTGACCCTCTTAAAAGACAGTGGTTCTGACCCTGAAGCTGGGTGACAAATGTGACAAAAGCTTCCCTCCGTCCGTGCCCCACAAAACAAAAACAAACAACAAAAATCCCTTGATATTGCCATCAGACAACCAATCTCTATCTTTAGACCTTTCATTGTTCAGAGCATCCAGTTCAATCACAAATAGCCTTGCAAAAGGTTATGATACTAGTTGGCAAGCACTTATCATGCACTAGATTTAGTTTATCATGGTTGCTTCTGAAGGGGCCTACTCTCCATGTGGCGAAGCTTAGCCTCCATTTCTTCCCACTACCCTATCCTCTATTCAGTCAGGTCTGTTCCTTTAAGAGCTTTGTGGGACAATACAGTTCCTGAGTCTTTCAATAGAATTCAGTTCTTCAGTCATACTAGCTTCATTTCAATTCGATAGCCGCATGTGGCTAGTGGCTTCTGTATTTTACAGCATGAATGAAAAACATCCCATTATCACAAAAGGTAATTTTGGAACTTCTATTTAGAATATCCATGCTTATTTCTTCCACCTTATTTCATCCCTTTTCATCAGATGTTCTCACTTGTGAATGCCTGAATTTTAAACACTGGATAGGTCCTTTTCAGGAGACAAAGTACACACAACAGTGATAGCCTAAGCCTTTGGGCCCTAAGGGAATCAGGGGAGTTTCCCAGAGAAAGTGGTGTTTAAGCTGAGTCCAGAGTTATGAGGAAGCAGCCAAATGAAGAGGAGAGGAGGCTTTCAAACAGAAACACCATCGATGCACAGACCTTACAATGAGAGAGAAGAGCCAGGTGGGCTCTGAAGAGCCACAAGAAATTCAGTCTGGCCCTAACCGGTTTGGCTCAGTGGATAGAGCCTGTAGACTGAAGGGTCCCAGGTTCAGTTCCGGCCAAGGGCATGTACCTTGGTTGTAGGCACATCCCCTACTGGAGGCATCGATGTTTCTCTCATCGATGTTTCTAACTATCTCTCTCCTTTCCTCTCTGTAAAAAATCAATAAAATATAGCCTGGACCGGTTTGGCTCAATGGATAGAGCGTCGGCTTGGGGACTGAAGGGTCCCGAATTTGATTCCGGTCAAGGGCATGTACCTTGGTTGCGGGCATATCCCCAGTAGGGGTTGTGCAAGAGGCAGCTGATAGATGATGCTCTCATCAATGTTTCTAACTCTGTATCTCTCTCCCTTCCTCTCTGTACAAAATCAATAAAATATATTTTAAAAAATCAATAAAATATATTTTTAAAAAAAAGAAATTCAGTCTGACTTAAACTGAGAGTACAAGGAGAGAAGAGGAAAAGAGATGAGGCTGTAGAATTATTTCCTTTGGTTGATTTCCTTGAAGTTCTCTAGCCAACATGTATCCCAATATCTACAGTTACTGAAGCCTCATATTTATGCTAAGACCCTTGGAGGAAAACAATATAAATGTGACATCCAGCCTCCAGAATCACCCTCAAAGACTTCTCTCCTGGGATCCATGCCATAGAACAGTGTCCTCCCACTCTAATCATAGCTGGTATGGGTGATCAATAAGAATATGGCAGAAGGGTCCTGGCTGGGTGGCTCAGCTGGTTGGAGCATCGTCCAGTACAGCAAAGTTTCATCCCTAGTCAGGACACATACATAAGTACTGGGCTTAATCTTCAGTTGGGTGGGTATGGGGGGCAACCGATGTTTCTCTCTCACATCAATATTTCTCTCTCTCTCCCCCTTCCTCTTTCTCTAAAATCAATGGCAAAAACATCCTCCAGTAGGGACTTAAAAAAAAAAAAAAGTATTGCAGAAGATATGGTGTTTGACTTCTGAGGCTAGGTCATAAAAGGCCCTGTGGCTTCTACTTGAGCTCTCAAATTGTGCATGCTAGAGAAAGCCAGCTGCCACGCCATGAGAACATTAGAGTGACTCCAAAGGGAGAACTGAAGCCTTTGACCTGGGTCTTTCAAATCCAGGAAGCCCTTAGGATGACTGTAACTGACATCTAGACCATGAACTTAGGAGGATACAAAAATATGTAATTTGTCCTGTCTGATATGGCTCAGTTGGTCGGATGTTGTCCCATGTTTCTTTTTTTTTTTTTTTTTAATAAGTTTTTATTGTTCATATTATTACAAATGTTCCTTCCCCCCCGCCCCCCACCATTGCTCTCCTCCACCAGGTTCCCATCCCACCCTCTGCCCTTTCCCCACTCGCCATTGTCCTCATCCATAGGTGCACAGTTTATGTTCAGTCTCTTCCCACATCCCCCTCTCCCCTTTTCCCCAAGAATCATCAGTTCACTCCCCTTCCATACCTCTGATTCTATTATATTCAACAGTTAATATTGTTCATCAGATTTTTTTTTAATTTCCTTGGTTTTTAGATTCACTTGTTGATAGTTACGTATTTGTTGTTCATAATTTTTATCTTTATTTACTTTCTCTTCTGAAAGAACCCCCTTCAGCATTTCATATAATTCTGGTTTGGTGTTGATGAACTCCTTTAGCTTTTTTTTTTATTAGTGAAGCTCTTTATCTGACCTTCGATACTGAGTGATAGCTTTGCTGGGTAGATTATCTTTGGCTGTAGGTTATTACTATTCATCACCTTGAATATTTCTTGCCATTCCCTTCTGGCCTGCATGGTTTCTGTTGAGAAGTCAGCTGACAATTGTATAGGTGCTCCTTTATAGGTAACTACCTGCTTTGCTCTTGCTGCTTTTAATATTCTCTCTTTGTCTTTTGCTCTTGGGATTTTAATTATGATTTGTCTTGGTGTGGTCCTCTTTGGATTCCTTTTATTTGGAGTTCTGTGTGCTTCCTGGACTTGTAAGTCTAATTCTTTCACCAGGTGGGGGAAGTTTTCTGTCACTATTTCTTTCAGTATGTTTTTGATATCTTGCTCTCTCTCATCTTCTGGGACCCCCATAATTCTGATGTTGGTTCGCTTGAAGTTGTCCCAGAGGTTTCTTACATTATCTTCAATTTTCTGGATTCTCTTGCCTTCTAGCTTCTGTGGAGGAGTGTCTTCTGGCTCTTTATGTTCCAAATCTTTGACTTGATTCTTGCGATCTTCCATTCTGTTTTTAGGACTCTGTATAATATTTTTTATTTCAGACAATGTATTCTTTATTTCTTGTTGATCCTTTATCATTTCTTGTTGCTCCCTTATCATTTCTTGTTGACTCCTTATTAATTCTAGTTGATCCCTTTTCATATCCTCATA